GATTAGGATTTTGTTGTCTTTACGTAAAGCAAAAACCGTTTTGCCTGCTGCTCTTACTCTTCATCCCACCCAGTTCTTCCAGGATCCTACAACTTTCTAAACTGATTTACATGGTTTGGGTTTGTGAACTGCTCAGCTATACGGAACCACAAACGTCACAGCGATTGCTGTCGTTCAAGTACTTGTTAATATTTGCCTGTCTGACGTGCTTTATCAGCATCTTGATGTGTGCGTTCACTGCTGCATATTCCCTGCTGCTTGATTCGCTATAATAATTTCTTCCTTTATGCTGCCTGAATTTTCTGACATGAAGAAATACTTCATTTGAGACCTCTGGGTTTCTACCACTTCTTAGTGATGTTATATACAAAATAGATACATACCAGCCTTTAACTTTCCTCAGAGCAGTATTTTGAGAGGTCCCCTTGCCCTCAGTTCAGGTGCTTTCCAGTCTTTAGCTAGTTGTCACCCTTTGTGGTGTGTTCTAAATGACTCCGGGGTGGCTGGACGTTTGTTTGCTGCATTTGAGATGAAGCTTGAATTTTAAACGAGGTAGATTGTAATCTGAATTTCTGTCTGGGCCTTGTGGTGTTTTTCTTGGATGAGGACTCTAGTTTTCTCCCATTTCTGCGCAATGATACAATCGATCAGCTGATCAGAAGAGGTACAACTCTATTTTCCCATCCTGTGATGGTGAAAGAAAGCATTTGCAAGGATAGAACAAGATTCTCAAAGCAGAGCTCAATGAGTCGATGTCCTCATTTGTTGATCTCACTCTGTCCCATCGCAGCACTGATCAGTAACAACTTTTCCCCCTTCTAGACTGAAATCCCATGTTCTCAGCAGCGCATCGTGTCAACAACTCTTGTGTTAGTCTAGTAGAGGTCTTCAGTTTCACCAGCCTGGGATTGTTTTTTTGCAGGGTATTTAAGATCAAATCCTGCTTGCTTTCAAATGACAACACTTTTAAATCACCCTGTTTAATTTCATTCTTTATATAGGCACTGATTTTTAAGTGTATTACATCTGGGTGTAGGGTTCCTCTGGATATTACCTGTGTAGGATGTAATTGTAAATTATCCAGACTTTCTGCAAAGCCACTTAAAGGAAAAAAAAATGTATAATTTCTAGGGTTTTTCTTGGTATAAGAACAACATTCAAAATCTTTGTGCCTACCTTATCATTCAATTTCCTATTGTCTGTGGAATTATTTTGTTGTTTCTGCATTGTCACACAGACTCTGCGTTTCCTTAAATTATAGTGGCTCTTGTTGACATTGCCCTCTCTTACTAGCGAGGATTGGGTTTATCAGCAATAAGTTAACCTGCTCTGAATTCACTTCTACATCTGCCAGTCTGTAGTTACTGAAAAGATTTCTCTTTTCTTTTTCCTCCTCTTTTCCCCTTGGCTAGTTCAGCGTTTTCAACCATTTTCCTTATTTTCAAAGGCTTACGCCTGAGGGATTAGGATCTACATTCGTTTAATATCGGGAATAAAGTGGAAGTTCCAAACTGCAAAGCTAAAACTTGAAGAAGGATCTTTGCAGAGATTAATAATTTCCTGAGCAATCTGCGAGCTGAATCATGGTTTAATTAAATAGCACAGATTTAGTGAGTTTGCATTTAAACATTAGCAGACCCTAGAACGGGTAAAGCTGAAATGAGTTTGAATCTTTTCTGTAAATGGGAAGTTAAATTATCATAGTAATTTGATTAAATCATTTTTAAGTATTTTAAGCTAAATCGCCATTTTAAAAGAACAGTTTGAAGTCTTAATCATTGCTTGGAAGTGCCCCTCTCTCTGCTGTTTTTTCTTACCTCATTTCCTGTGACAAAATCTGTTTCCCAAGGCAGAGCTTCCTCAGCTCTGCTCCATGAAGCACTGTTTGGCAGCAGAGTGCTTGCATCAGGCCAGTGGAGAGCTGGCTGGTCACATTCTTCCCAGCTGCTAAATTGAGTTCAAAGACAGCAACAAATGCATTAAATGCTTTACTACTAGTACTTTTCCGTGTAAGCAATTGCTTTGTTTACCGCAGGGATGGGATACAATCACCCCTGCAAGGAGAGGATAAGATCCCTTTTTTAAAGGTGTTGTCCACGCAGTGGAAGAGTTTGAGAGCATGGAGTGTAATAGCCGTATCAGAGGGCAGGTTTTGATTCATCTTCCGTTCTTGTGTTTTCTAGGCCTGTTCTCTTCCTCTTTTCCCTCCTCACTCAGTTTCTGTGTCAGAAATATGTAGAGCGTGCATATTCCTAACGCTGCAGGCCAAATTGCTATCCAAACTGCAGCGCTAAAGATCTCGGGCAAGTTTCCTCTCTGTGCGAAAAATTAGTCCAGACTCCGTCCATGTACTTGCAAATTCAAACATGGTCGCAGATGCTGATTACAAATGCTGATTCTGGGGAGAATTGGACCAGTTTTGTAAAGAGTTAAAAACTAAACACTGATTGTCAGGTTCTTCAGAAAGAGTCTCTTTATGCAGTATGGTGTAAAAAAAAAAAAAAGGAAGAAGAACTTGGCGAGACTTTGACTCGCCAAGCATTTTGTTGCTGCTAAAATTCTCCTATCTGATTCCCCAGCAAATCTGGCTCTGGCACTCTGGGTCCGGGAAGAGGAGGAAAAGGTGTGTAATTTCTGCACAAACTGTGCATGGTTTATAGAAAAATTATTTGGAGTAGCTCATCGTGTGTTCTGTAGCACAACAGTGAATACCCAAGGACTTGCTAAAGAGTCAGGGAGTAAAGATGACCATTTGTTTGGAGTTTGCATTCCAAATTAAGCCCAGTGCTTGGACACTATGCTTAAGGCTTCAGTCACGTTTGTATGTGTGTGTTAGCATGTCTGTATCGATAACAGCTGTTTGTAGGACACAGAATTCAGGGATTTTCTCTTATTGACGCAGAATTATTTAATAGAATTGCCATCTTAGAAAACTATCAAAAATTTATGGATTTGGGAAATGGTCTCACGTTAATTAGAACTAAATTTGCTAGAGGTAATATTTCCCTGTCATCTTTTTTAAAATGTTGTAGCTTTCTTTTTCCCTAAGAGAGATATTTTTGCGTTTCTCTGCTTTCAGCACAGTGCACCTTGATGTGCAGTATCACATCTCTGCAGCATGTCTTAACTGCATGCTTCTTAGAGCATGTATTCGCTAAGACTCAGAATTATTAAACATGTAAAATTCCCATAGGACTCCATTATGTGTAATTAACAGATAAACTGTCATCAGAATCAATAAAACGTGCTAAATGATCCAAACTTGTATATAATTAAGTGTCTGTTTTAGAGCAGGAGCTGTAACTTTTATTTTTTTTTCTTTTCAATTTGCACATTTGTTTTGACAATAGAAGCTGGAACATTTTTGTTAACCTGTTATTTACTGGTTTGTGTTTTGGTTTACATGTTTGTGTTTGAAAAGAGAGAGGTATTTACTATCTGGCCTAATTATCTGAGGAAATAGTTGCACGTCAGCTTTTAAGAAATGAATCTGAGGTGCATCTTAATTCTCTGAATGTAATTCAGATATTTGAAGCACGTGCAGAATTCGATGTTGCTATCATCAACAGGGTAAAACATGAGGCTCTGTCAAAATACTGATCCAGGGCATCAGACTGCTTAATACAGGGCTCAGAAATGATGATAGAAGTGGGTTCTTCACCATCCAACTCCTCAGTTGTTATTCTGTCTGGGAACAGGAGCTTTATTCCAAAACCAAAAATTAAGATGCAAGGCAGCGTTGTACTAACTTGAGTTTTCAGGGGTATACTTTAATAATGCCATGTCCCAGTTTCAGCCTGAGCTGAGCTTGCACAGTGCAGCCCATCCCGAGGACTTGCACACCTCACAGCAGTTACATTTTCATATGGTGTTCTATGGGCTCTGTAAGTCTGTCGACCATCCAAATTTTGGTAGCCGATAGGGGCTGTTCGGTGGCCTCTTTCACCTATGACCATGTGTCCTTACATTCACCTCACTTTGGTCCACATCAGGGGTTTTTTGGCATTTATGACAACATAAAAGTCGGAGAATTAGGGCTGCTCATCTGAAGTCATCTCGGCGTGGTCCAGTAGCTGCATGTTCTCAGGGACATCTTCCCTTTTCTCTATCTATGCTGTTGAGGGTTTTACAGTTATTTCAGTTAGATCTTTTCTTTTTATTTCACACTTCCATTGCTTTAATCTTTCCAGGTCATGTAGCAGTTTAGTTTAGTTCCTGGTGTGCGTTGTGTCTAGGCTTGTCACTCAATACTTAACACCACCAAAACATCTCACCTGGAAAGGTACAGGCCGAGGTGCTTGCTTTGAGTGATTTAGAAAAAATGCAAAACCCCAACAATAACAAGATAAACCACCCTCTGAGCGGGTGGGAGAGCAGGATTACACCTTGCAGGAGATGTTAGCTTCGCAGAACAAAAGCTGTTCAGGAGCATACTAAGTGTTGCCTGTCTGCCTGAATGTGCCTGAGGGAGAAAAAATTTGCTGAACCTATCAGGAAATCACATCAAACCCGCTTTTCCCTTGTGTTGGTGCAGTGGTCCTAATCCCGCCATTAGCGTCTCCGAGCAGTGGGTAACGACCATGGCCTCCAACTCCACGGCCTTGGAGCCCGACACAGAATTTTCCTGAGCTTTTCCATAGTAGAGAAGTCATTCTTGCTTCCCTGATAAAATGCAGACCTCAATTCATACAGCCTTTGGCACTATCATTTCTTCAAAGCAGTAACTGTAAGAGATGGTTTATGGAGCAGCGAGGGTGACTGTTTTACTTGTTGGAGGAGGATGAGGGGAAGGATTACTTACACAGGAGTTAATTATACATTTGTAGTTCCACAGCGGTTCCAGATATTTTCCTGAAGGTCAATATAGAAATTAGTGGGTAATTCTCTTCCTCCTTTGTGAAAGAGGATGGACAGAACCAGTGACAGTGTTGCGCAGCCATAGCGTTATCTGACTTCTGGTGCACCAGACTGAAACCTCCTGTTGCTCCTTTGTTTTGCAGACTCAATGCACATAGAGGATGTTGAGGCAGTGCAGAAACTTCAGGACGTCTTACATGAGGCTCTGCAGGATTACGAGGCCGGGCAGCACATGGAAGACCCGCGTCGCGCAGGCAAGATGTTGATGACTCTCCCGCTTCTGAGGCAAACCTCCACCAAGGCTGTGCAGCATTTCTACAACATCAAACTGGAAGGCAAAGTCCCCATGCACAAACTTTTTTTGGAAATGCTGGAGGCCAAGGTCTGACTAAAGCATCATGGGCTTCCCCATCATGCACGTTTTAAAAAAAAAAAAAAAAAAAAAAAAAAAAGGAAAATAAACAGGATAATAATGGCAAAGAAACTTAGTGTTTAATTAAGGAAAAAATGACTGCACTGATATTTAGCAGCAAGACTGTGAAGCAGCTTTCAACTTTTTCTTCTGTGTCTTTCTGATGCAGTTTTTCTTTTCCTTTTCCTTTTCTCTCTTTTCCTTTCTGTTCTTTCCTTTCCTTTTTCCTTTTCTCCTTTTTCTTTGCTGCTGAACTTTTTAAAAGAGGTCTCTAATTGAAGAGAGATGGAAGCCAGGCCTGCCAAAGGATGGAAATCCATAATATGGATGCCAGTGAACTTATTATGAACCATAATGTCCCCAATGACAAAGGAATCAAAGAGAGAACCACCGTACCTAGCAGTACAGTACAACACGATGAACTGACTGAATGCAGTATTAGATTTCATAGGAGCAGTCTCTAATTAGACGACTAAGCGACGATGCATCGGCTGCTTCTTATCATTGCATTTTCCATCTAGATCAGTTACAGCCATTTGATTCCTTAATTGTTTTTTCAAGTCTTCCAGATATTTCTTAGGTTAGCTACAATGTAACTTTTTCAGGGAATAGTTTAAGCTTTATTCATTCATGCAATACTAAAGAGAAAGAAATACTGCATTTTTGTGCTGGCTTGAACAATGATGAACAATAATGAAGGACAAATGAATCCTGAAGGAAGATTTTTTTAAATGTTTTGTTTCTTCTTACTAACGGAGATTTTTTTGTACCAGCTTTACCAGTTTTCAGCCATTTATTAATGTGGGAATTTACCTTACTAAAGCAATAGTCGAAGGGAAGGTGCATATTATCACGGATGCAATTTATGTTGTGTGCCAGTCTGGTCCAAAACATCCAGTTTCTTAACATGAGCTCCAGTTTATAACTAAATGTTCACTGACTCAAAGGATTAGATTACACCTACAGTATATCCGAGTAGTCTAACATATAAATACTCCATGTCAAATACCAATCTGTAACGGTGTTAGGAGACAGCGACTGTACAAAGGTATAGTTGCTACGTGATTTCTAACTGCTTCAGTTGCAAATGAACGAGATACTGCCTGTTTGCAAAATTATAACCTCACACGCAGAAAAACCCCATGAACCAATAGTAGCTTAGAGGCAATAAGGCAAATGCCGACGTTTGCAAAATTAAGAAACCAGAGTAGTAGACTTCTGACCAAATTGAAGAATTTAACACTTCTATACCTTATTTATTGATTTAGATTTTATTTTGGAAATGGCAATCTTTAACAAGTAGCTAAACCAGTATATGTGCTTTTCAACCAGTATTGTCACAGCATGAAAGTCAGTCAGTTTCAAGACTGTTACGAGGTGTAATCTAATGTATAAACCGATTAGATGCCCCCAGAAAACTACAGTCGCTAAATAACCAATAAACAATAACCTCCATCAAATGCTATACCAATGTACCAGTGTTAGTAGCTGCTCCCTGTACTATGTGAACATCCTTATTCTATGTACACAGATGTAATTAAAATTGTAATCCTAACAAACAAAAGAAATGTAGTTCAGCTTTTCAATGTTTCATGTTTGCTGTGCTTTTCTGAATTTTTATGTTGCATTCAAAGACTGTTGTCTTGTTCTTCTTGTGGTGTTTGGATTCTTGTGGTGTGTGCTTATAGACACAGGGTAGAATTAGAGACAATATTGGATGTACAATTCCTCAGGAGATTACAGTAGTATATTCTATTCCTTACCGGTAATAAGGTTCTTCCTAGTAATAATTAAGAGATCGAAACTCCAAACAAATACTCGTTATGAACAGATACACACTGAAATCATAATATTTTCAAAACAAGGGATAATTTCTGTAACAGTTTATTATAGAATACCAATGTATAGCTTAGAAATAAAACTTTGAATATTTCAAGATTATAGATAAGTCTAATTTTTAAACGCTGTAAATATAGCTTTTATTCAATCATCTCTCAGATGTTGTTATTAACTCGCTCTGTGTTGTTGCAAAACTTTTTTGGTGCGGACAAGTTTCCAAAACTATTGCTACGTTGTGTGCTTTAAACAAAATAACAATGGGCTGATGCTCCGTCGGCCTCGTGCTAGGAAAAAAAAAAAAACTGTGTATCTATCATTAGCTATATGGGACTATATTGTAGATTGTGTTTTCTCAGTAGAGAAGTGACTGTAGTGTGATTCTAGGTAAATCATCATTAGCAATTCATTCAGATGGTCAATAACTTGAAATTTATAGCTGTGATAGGAGTTCAGAAATTGGCACATCCCTTTTGAAAAATGTCAAAAAAAAAGAAATACAACTCCTGGGAAAAAGGTGCTGATTCTATAAGATTATTTATATATGTAAGAGTGCAAAAAAAAGTTTATTTTCCAGAAAGTTTGTGCAGGGTTTAAGTTGCTACTGTTCAAGTACACTATATATATATAAATATATAATATAAAAATTGTTTTTGCTGTATCACATTAAAGAACTTGGGCTTCAGGGTCAAAAGCCAATCGACTAGAAGTATACAAAACCACACAAAAAATGGAGATGTGTTAAAGGCACACGGTGCAAACTTTAGTTTTCGTTTTCCGTAATTTTTTGGAGCTGCAAAAGAACAAGTATCTCAAGACTGTAAAAGCATTACCTGAAACATAGCCTAAAGAACTGCACGGGCTTTATAACGTTGTTCATCTTAAACCTTGCTGGAGAAGAGTTCTTTCAAGACCACTTACTTAATGTGAAGTGTTGGGAAAATTTCAAAGGGTGTATGTTTTAGCCATAAGGATTTAATTTCTATTTTTGCTTCATTTTTTAATTTTTTCTTATTTAAAGCAATATGATTGTGTAACTCCCAGAAGTTACACATTTGTTTCAATCAGATCAGATTGTTGTATTTATTCCACTATTTTGCATTTAAATGATAACATAAAAAGATATAAAAAATTAAAACTGCTATTTTTCTTATAGAAGAGAAAATGGGTGTTGGTGATTGTATTTTAATTATTTAAGCGTCTCTGTTTACCTGCCTAGGAAAACATTTTACGGCAGTCTTATCGTGCAAAGATCGCAAAAGGACAAAAAAAATTAAACTGCTTATAATAATCCAGGAGTTGCATAATAGCCAGTAGTTAAAACCGAAACAAAACAACAAATAAAAACAAACATGTCTATAGCTGTAGATGGGCTTCACATCTGTATAGCAATCAACTGTATATTTTTGTGATGTGTATCATACCGTGTGCTCCAACCAATGTCCATTTGTGTAAATGTATTTATTTTATATTGTATATATTGTTAAATGCAAAAAGGAGATATGATTCTGTAACTCCAATCAGTTCAGATGTGTAACTCAAATTATTATGCCTTTCAGGATGATGGTAGAGCAATATTAAACAAGCTTCCACTTTTGATTGCTTTTATTTTATTTTTTGTGTTGTGGGGGTTTTTTGGTTTTATTTTCTTTTTCGGAGGAGGAAACGGAGCAATTAGCATTACCTTTTGTTACTTCCATTCAAAGAGGAGCCAGCGTTCTCCCTTCTCCCTTACAGTACAATATGAGTGTAAATAAATGCTATATAAAGCCTTGTCAGAATGAATTCCAGTGTGGTGCAAGACATTTTGCATACTCTTAAATATGCAAAATGTCTCATAGCACATTAGAATTCAGGCTGGCAGGCCTTTATATAGCACTTATTTAATCTTAAAGCATCTCCACATCAACCGGCATTACTCAAAATCATTACCTCTCTGTCAATGTCATAAAAGAAAACTTTCCCACTATTTTAAGATTGCATTAATATCATCTAGAAGTACTTATTTGCTTTCTCCATCAACAACCAGGTCTATCATTCGTTTCCTACTGCAGGAGACTCCTTTTATGTGTTCTGGGTAAAAAAAAAAAAAAAAAAAAAAAAAAAAATCCAAAAATCTGTGTTATTTGATCCAGCTTTTCTGAATGGAAGTAAATAGCCACCGGAGCGATAACATAGATTGGTATTAATGAAGAGCACTGCTAAGTCGCCGGGATCCAGGGGGGTTAAACAGCACGGTTGCAAACTGGCAGCAACACACAGCGTCTGAAACCTCTCAGCCTTTTAGCTCTGAGAGGCCGCAGCCCCGTCGCTCGGGGTCAGCCCCTCGTGCCTGTGGACCCTTCTGGAACCATCACAGAAGTGCTAATGTGTGCTTTTCTTGCTTTTTAGCCTATCTTGATAGTATTCTGTCATTGTGTTTGCCAACATATTTCTCACCTTCGCTGCTGGCCGTTCTCTGGAGATTCGGGCTGATGGCACAAAGGCTCCTGAACAGAACGGTGATGCTCGGGGACGGGAGTTGTTTCAGCCAAGCTACGGGGGCAGCGCCGGGGGCTTTTCGTGCTTTGCGCTCTTTCAGTAGCAAAATATGCCTTGAAACGGGAGGGCACCTCTCCCCTGCTACCAGTACCTTCTGTGTTTTAACCATCCTAGGCAATGGAAGGGGGGGGGGTGTGAGTAAAAGGAGCAGCAGAACAATAGAAAGGTGAATCCCCCTGGACTCTTCAAAGGAGGTCAGAATTGGGTTTTAGTGTCAACGCTGCTGTGTGCACAGCCATATGTACATACAGACGGACCTACGCATGCACAAAACCGGTTTTCCCCCCTTTTTTAGTGTTCTGATTTTGAATTATTGCAAAGTACTGCTTCAAAGGAAACGTAATACTGCACTGTAAGTTAAAAATGAAAAAAGCAGTGTTAGAAATTTTCACACACAAAGGGGAAAAAAAAATGTAAAGAGTGGTGCTCCTCGTGTTCCTCAGCATGTGATTGTCTCTAATCATTGCTCAAAGTTTTCACATACAATTAAAAATCATAAATAATATTTCCGTACCATTTTTACCAGAGGATCATGAAGCACCATACCATCATAAATTTAGCATCACAGAAGAGAAAATAGAGGGAACACTGAGATGAAGTCACTTCTAGGGATGCAAGTCTGCAGAGCTGGTTTGGTTTTTGTCTTTCTGTCTTCTCCCCACGCGGCCTCTGCAGCAAAGCCAGGACGGGCACAGAAAGCCATTGGAAACGTTTCGGTAGGCAGAAATGTTTCAGTACGTATCTGTGGGGAACTTGGCTAGGAGCACAAACCTCTCTAAACTATGAAAATAGCTACTAAATCTTTAAAGAAAATTTAAAAAGGACTTGGGGCGCTGGCATTCGTAGCTTGACCAACACATCCCGCTGCAGCTCTCAACTGCTGCAGCCCCAACCTGTGGCTGCAGCACCAACACTGAGCTGAAATAAGGAGATCGGCAAACCGAGGGTCTTTCCGTTGTGGATATGGCTTAGCTCAGCGAAACTAGTTTTTGACTGACGTGGTTTACATCACCCTTCCCTCCCCCCCCCCCCCCCCCCCACACCAACCCACTCCCAGCCCCAGACAGCGTTTGACAGCCTTCTACCCCCGCCGCCGCCCCAGCCTGGCCGTGGGACGCTCCGCTCCTCCCGCGCTGCTACGCTGGCACCCGTGCCTGCTCGCA